TGTTTCATGTGCATTTCTTTTTACTGGTCTTTGCTTAAGTTGCCTCACTGGGCCACCATATCAATGCATAATTGTAAATGTAACTATATGATTTAAAATAATATAATAAAATGAATTTGAATTTCATTATAGAAACACCTCACAGTGGTTTGCTCCACTTCCTGGCGTTCAGGGAAACACATTAGCACCATTAACTTGTCTTTTAAACCTTGTGCTTTAATGTTACAGGGCAGCTAAGTTTCATAATGGATATTTTTATTGTTATGTAACTTTTTTTTTTTTTTTTTTAACTCTAATGGGCAGTAAATAATTGTCAACTTTAACAAACTTTCAAATGACCTGATTTAAAATATGGCTGACTGCTTTCTACTCTTTGTTTATAATTAATTAGATGAAATTAATTTGAGAAATGCCTTTGTTACTACAGTTGAAGTATATATGAATGTGAATATATGTTGCTAGAAGACACGCTCAGCTGAATCCTGGTCCCCTTGTGCCACCCAGCTTTAAGATGACAGTGTTAGGGTGGGAATGTCAATGATTGTCTGACTCGTGGTGGACTGGCAGCCTGTCCAGGGTGTACCCCACCCACACTTAATTACAACTATTACTCCCTGACTTGGATAAGCCTTAAGATGATGTTTCAGAAGAGAGGATATTATAGTAAACTAAGAGGAAAAAGCATCTAATTCATTTCAAATAAGATAAAAATTCATTCAAAACTATAACAGCTCTGCTTTGAAGCAGCAGGGTTAATGATGAACTTTTATCAGTGTAAGTGTTTTGCCATGAACTGTTTCTAGAAAAAAAAAAGTTCAGAATGACACAAGCAGTGAGTAAGACCAGGGCAGTGAGGTCATAGGCACATTTTAAGCTTCCTCAAAGGCAGCAATGGTGTGATCCACCTCTGTCCTTAAACCCAGCCCATCTGTTTAAATGACACATTATGCAATTCATGAAAGATAAGCTTGTTCTCCCAATCAAACGTACCTGCCGTAAATTGATTTCACAATGTAAAAAAGGTTGTAGTCCTGAAAAGAAAAAAACATACAAGACAAGCGTGTGTTCATTTCAGATAATGCTGTCAGCATTGAGGTGTGGCTGTCACAAAAAACGAGCTCTTCTCTGGCTGTGTAGTATTTACACAGCGTGCGTTCCTCACATACTTCTACGTTATGGTTCTGTAAACATGTAGAAAGCAGTTTAATCAGCCGCACCTACAGCACCTGTGAGCAGCAGCGGGGACTGTTCATCCAGAGATCTTATCTGTAATCATTTGTCACTGACCTGTGACCAGATTTCAGTCTCTTTATCATGAATATATACATTCATTGGGTGGAGCACCAGCTGGGCTGTGATAACTGGGACCCACATCCTCTTTTAACCTTAATGAGAAAGTCTGCAATGTTAAATTAGCAAAATCAGTGATATCTCCATATCTTTATGTAGTGTACATGAAGCACACTTGATTCCTTTAGTTTGTTCCTAATATTTCTGCTGCACAAAATTTCTTTACCTGTGACTTATTTTAAATAGAAGCTTGTAGTTGTGAACCTAACATGTGCTTGCCTAAAGATAGATATTGGATAACACTTTGTTTTGTACATTTTATGGATAACTGGATGTTCTCAGGAAGTAGCCAAACATGTGCAAACTGCTATAAGGTGTAAA